TAAAAGTATTCATTTCTAGTAAAAACGACCTCCAAAATTTTGAACAGTAGTGTGTCACTGTCACTCTCTGAGTTAAATCGGTTACCCAGGTTGATCTGCAGCAGGAGTTTGGCTCGCTGCAGCTCTAGAGTGATATAATCACCCTGCTGTCCCTCTCCGTGCAGCAGAACGCCGTCTCCTTTAGTAGTCTTAAACTTCAGTGAAATCGCGTCCTTCAAGATCTTCATCTTTTTCTGTCTAAATCGATAGGAAATCACTCCCTGGCCGTCAAAGCTGATCACATCCGCCCCTGAATGCAGGAATATGGGTCAGTCACAAACAAACATATGAAGTCTTCCTCAGCCTTCCAACACTTTCTCCAACCAAACCAAGTTTATGATGCAACAGCGGTGAAACTAAGCATATTTGCTTTTAAAGGGGCCATATCATGAATTATTATGCAGAATTATCCTTGATCTTGAAATAAACATTTCATGTGTATTATATACACTGTATATAAAAGAGCCTATTATTGAAGAATAATGCAACTATATTGGACCAAAGAAAAAGTGAACAATGCATAAAGAGGTTAGGTGATGAAAGGGTTAAAAATTGTTCAAATGTGTAAAAATGACCCTTCTAAAATGTGTGAAAGATACATCAAGGATCGATTCCACAACACTCACAGTAAGCGCAGCCATAGAGCTCCACTCTCAGCCCAATTCTCCCCTCCTCACTCCAGTCCAGCGGGATGAGACGCACGAATCGGGCCACGAAAGGGTGCTGGAGTTCATGGCGCACGGCCCGCTCTGAGTTCCAGTTACCTGAAAACGTCTGAGGCAGGAAGAAGGGAAGCACACTTTATAAAGGCATCGAGAAAACCTCCTCCTGTGAGTGAGACACTCCATTACTGCGGGTTCTGCTTACACAGATCAATACGACAGGCTCTCGAAGCATATTTCCAGGAGAACTGCCTTCGCATCTTAATTTCTTGGCATAAGCACTGTTTATGAAAGGAGGGAAATATGTGTGCAGTAATGTGTTATGAGGAATGAGTGTAATTGCATTTACAATCTGGAGATAAAAGTATAATGTTAGCTTTTGAAATTTTGAAATATAATCCATTTATGAGGCAGTTTTTGAACTTTGTAATGCTATGGAGGAAATCATAGGAAAGTGAAATTCTTCTCCTAGAGAGCAGAGATTAAACTGAGAGCAAATGAGACCCTGGAGCACAAAACCAGTCTTAAGTCGCTGGGGTATA